CACAGCGGTGCCCGCTCTTGTCTGGAGGGCAGTGACCCGTGGTGCGAGCGCCAGCAACACGTGAGTGCCTCCGGGGCCGCCTCGCTTCCCTCCTCCCATCACCCCCAACCGCTTCCCTGCTCCGGTCCTCCTTCCCGCCAACCCCTGCCACATTCCAGAGAGTATGACACTCTGAGGACCCGGCCCAGGCGCAGAGAGACATCTTCAGGCAGAACCCCCAGAGAGGCCTCCCCGCGCTGCCTTTTCCTCAGCATCACATTACGTCAGGCGGAGTTTGTAGGGGCCACGGGGCGCCCAGCCCGGTTCTGCCCTCCTTGACCGAGGCCTTCCCTCCGGCATGCGCCCTACAGGCCTGCCCAGCCTTCCTCTGCGCCGAGCGCTTGTGGGGCCCTCGGCCATTTGTGAAGGTGGCTGATTGGCTGATGGTTAAAGTTTTCTTTTACGCAAGACCAATTTTCAAGCTAAGCAACTTTCTCTTTAGAGAGTCCTTAAAAGTGAACTTACAACTCGAGACAGCTCCCTCTTTTTTTATGTCTAAACTAAACAAACCATTCCTCGGCACATGTTTCCCGTCAATAAAAGCAAGTATTTCCTCAGGCGATCATGGCCCTGGGCTCCCCCAGAGTCCCTCCGGGCTTGCGCCAACTCTCCATGTCTTATCGCTGATGCCCGTCTGAGATGGGTCACTTGAAGCCAGCCGGTCACTGGCCCGTCCTCACAAAGAAGAGCTGCTGCCCCCCAGCCTAGAGGGATCCACGCCGCGTGGGGGACACTGGTACCCCATTCGCCTTCGTCCAAGGCGCCAGGGCTCGCAGAGTCATTTCCCGACACTCTGAGCTGCCCCTCAGATGGGAGTGGGGGGAGCGCTGTGGGCTCGGGTGGGAACTCAGACAGTTGCATTCCAAGTTGGGGCTTTCCTTCTCTAGCGCCTTCCTCTCTGAAGAGAACTCTGGAAAAGGACTGTGCCCTCACCCAGAGTGCGCGGGCCAGAGCGGCCGGCCCTGAGAGATACCCACGGGCTGGCTCGGCAGGAAGCGAAGCCATGAGGGTAGGCAGGGGGCGCTTAGGGAGAGAAACTGAGGCAAGGGGGTCCTGCTGGGAAGCCCCCAGGGGCCGTGGCCCACAGCCTCCAGTTTCTCCACATTCTGAGACTAAGAACAAAAACAATGCTTGAAAATAATTGCTTCTACACCATACTGGCGGGGGAAGGGAAACAGGACACTAAGCCTTTTGCCTGGAGTGGCCTTATTCCAGCCTAAGGGCACAAAAAGATGGCCATCAGGGTGTCCAGTGGGCTTCTGGCCTTCTCAAGCGGCCCCCCAGCCACCAGCAGAGGGCAGGTCCCTCCGGAGGAGCAGCGCTGAGGGCGGCTCGCAGGGAGGCCGAGGCCACCTCCCTACATGTGCACTTTACACATCCTGGTTAACGGAGAGTGCGGACAAGAGAATTCACCAATTTTTTGAAAATGCCCCAAATGGAAGTCCACAAAGCTGCCCTTCCTGTAGTGAATCCAGTCCTGTGTGGAGATAGCTGTCCCTGGCCAGGCCTCATGCCCCCCCGGGGGCGGGACAGAGTCCACCTCATCTCCCATCAGGGTTCATTCCTCAACCTTCCCAGTCCAACCCAGAGAGACCGTCCCAGACCAGGCTTCCAGGCAGGGCGCTGCTGTAGGAGGAGTTCTGAGAAGTGAACCGCACACAGAAGGGGTCCGCTGCGCCCTGGGGTCACTCCCTGGCTGCTGATAGCTCCACAGCGCTGTGCTTTAACGCCTGCGCCCAGGGAGGGCCCGAGCTAGCCATGTAACGGGCCTGGGCAGACTGGTGTCACCCCGCGAGCCTCTTCCCACACAGTGAATCTCAGAGGAGTTAATGAGACTCGCTATGTAGAAAGACGAGACTGAGGTTGGAGGCAGGGGACAGTGTCTACACACGCATCTGTGGAAACGCCTCAGCAGCAGCAGCTGAGGTAACGCCAAAGGCCCCAGACACAGTTAAGCCCGAGCCAGCCCAACCCTCCCATTCTGCATGGGAGGGGCTGAGGCTCAGTGAGGCTCAGGCTCTTCCTCAAAACCAAGCATCTAGGTGTGGCCGATGGGCCCCTCCAGGGAGCGCGGCTGTGTCAGGAACGGCTGTGTCAGGAACCCATCACACAGAGCTGTCACTACCCAGATGTCAGCTAGAATGCAAATGGTGCTGCCATTAAAAACAAACATTTGAGGCCCTCCCTGGTGGCGCAGCGGGTTAAAGCGCAGCACTGAGAAGCTAAAGCCACTTCCGCATGAGTTCGATTCCTGTATGCCCCGGAGGTGACCACATGGCGTGGCAGACCTCTCCTGACCCGCCCGCTGCTCCCCTCAGCAGTGTACTTCGTAGATCTGCCTGTTCTGCTCCCCACTCTGTCTCTGGTGAAGCCTCTCGCCGCCCCTGAGCCTCTGGCCTGTACCCCAGTTCTGTATCACAAATAAACAAATCTTAAAAAAAAAAAAAATATTGAACTTCACCTCAAAAAGCAGAGGAGGAAGTCAGGCCAACTGCACGGAAACTGTTATTCCCTCCTGAGAAAACAAAGCTAGAAGTCACTTTAACGGCGCTGAAACAGCAACTCTGTGCACAAGGAATTGGCCTTGCTAAACCCACAGATGTTGGGGTCAAGCTCAGAGTATGAGAACTGCCTGTTCCCTCCCGCCTCAAGATACCGGCGCCCTGGGGTGGCTCCTCTGAGCTTCAAGATAAAGCAGCTGACGGCAGGCAGGTCGGGGTGAGGAAGCAGCGGGGAGCAAGGGCCGGGTTCCCTGGGCAAAGGAGACCCCACTTTCAACTAGGAAGACGAGCTGAGGCCTGCTGACCCACTGGCACGCTGCCCTCCAGACCCCGCAGTGCCGAGAGTCTCGGAAATGAAAATTCTTGGCATCCAAAGATCCAAGGGCAGCAACAGGGGAAAGGGGAAAAATGCAAACAGCCGGCTGTCTGGGGCCGGCCCGTCGCGGCCTCCCGCAGCAGATGCCTAACTGCCCGGCGGGAACTTCGGCCGCTCGCTGTGAGGCAGCTGCTGAGTGGTGCTGCCGCGCTGACTCACAGCCCGAAACCCAGGACCAGAACGGCGTCCGTGGGACTCGGCACGCACAATGGGCGCGCTCGGCCCGGCAGGGGACACAGGCGCCTCCACTGGCGCGCCCACGAGGCCACTGATCACAGGAGCAGCGGTGCCAGTGCTGACAGTGCCCACGAGAGCACGCAGGAGGGAAGCGCGTCTGGCAGGAGGGGGTGTGACGGAAGAGGCAGCCGAGAGCGAGGGCGGCTCACCGCTGCCAGCAGCTGTCCAGTGAGCAGACGTGCGGAGCTCGCTGGCCCTCGGGTGACGGGTGCTGGGAGCTCTGCTCCCTCCTGGTGCACACGGCCCGGGTCCCTGGTGCGCGGCGCCTGACTCCGGGTGGGTGGCCAGTCCCGTCCAGCCCTGGCACCTCGCAGGCAGCCAGCACAGCCCCCGGGGGCAGCACCTGTGTGCAGGCGGCCACACACTCACTCTGCAGAGCGTCGTGGAAAGCCGCCGACAACACTCACCCACGCACGCGCCGTCCTCCGAGAACTGGTAGCCCTCCACGCACTCGCAGCGGAACGTGCCGGGGTGGTTGTTGCAGACGGCGTGGCTCCCGCACACGGAGGGTTGCTCCGCGCACTCATCGACATCTGCAACACGGTGGACAGAACAAAGTGGACAGGAGCTCCGAGCTCTCCGGGCACCCTCAGCGGGCTGAGGGAGAAAGCGTTTTGTCTCTGAGACCAATTTTAAAGAATATTTGTTCGTGCACACAAGAACTGGGCGCAGGCCAGAGGTGCGGGGTGAGAGGACGCCCCAGAGACAGAGCGGGGAGCAAGACAGGCGGATGGACTGAGGCACACTGCGGAGGGGGCCGCGGAGGGTGGGGGCGGCGGCCGCGCCCTGGGGTCCCTCCCCCATGTCCCTATCGTCCAAAGAAGGCATGAGGTTGGCTCCCCCACATGTAACTTGATCCCAAAGCAAAACAATGCTACTTCTCAGTAACGATAATAGCAAACAACTACACCGGAGACATTTTACAGGGGTGGAGTGGGGAAGGGGACCCCAGTTTCGCCTTCAAGCTCCTGCACACTGAGTGACTAGAATGTCACATGTATACTGGAGATGTCCCTTCTCTGGAGACCAATGCTTGGACATCATCTAGGGAACACATTGCTACATCAGTCCCCTCGTTTGACCTATACCAAGAGAAAACTTCCAAATAAACCTCCGATTTTCACAGAAGCAATGTCTGCTTCTGTGAAGCCCCCCAGCTGGGGGGCACAGCCGGACAGCCCCGAGAGCGGCCCCTTCTGCGACCTGGAGCCAGAGGTGGGCGAGGGGGAGAGCCAGACAGGACCTCACGGCTCCACCCTCCAGCTGCGGCCCCCGCGGCGGGAGAGAGACTGCTAGGGCCCCTCTCTGCTCCGCCCTCCGCGACACGCCCGCACAGCTGCCTGGACACTGCACAGACCCAGGGCCCCGGGCAGGGCCGCAGCCCTGCTGTGCCAATGCACAGCAGCACAGAGCGAGCTTCCAGCAAGGGTCAGGGCAGAGCTCCCAGGGGTCTTTCCCAAGCGCTAGTCCTCCCGCAGTCGTCCCAGAGGTTTATGGAAAGGAAGCTCTGGGTTTAAAGAAAATCCTCTTAGGTGGCTTGAGGGGGGCCTGGTCGCCATGTCCTAGTGGGAGCGCCACTGGTGATGGCCGGGGCCGGGGGCTGGGGAGCAGACGGTCACCAGCGAGTGCAGCCTGCACCCCCATGGGGCCTCCGTGGGCCAGCTGGGCTGCGCCTTCCCACAGAGCAGGACCCTACTAACCACATCCCTACCGACAGCTTACTAGCGCCTTGCGCTGGGAAATTCTTCCTGACATCTAACTGTCACCCTCCCGTATGTGAACCGCGGCTGGGATTTCAATCCTTTCGTTAGTGTCAAGAAAGAGCTGGTGATAATGCTCTCTCATAAAACAGCACAATCCTTAAGGATTTCTGTTCCTGTCACCCAATACCTGGTCAACCCCCGCTCCAGGAAGAGACTGCCTTCGCATAAGCCACTCTCTAGCCCAACAAGAAACTCCTGGATTATTACTGCTTCCTTTCCGGTCACTTACTACCTCGTTTCAACACAAATATCTCCAATGTGGCCCTTTCGTAAGTGCCAGCTCCACTGAGGAAAGTCTTTTTTGATTGATTTGTTAGGTATCTTGTGTGCACTCACAACTGCTCGATGAGCAACGAGCCGAAACTGTAACAACTCTACACGCAGGCCACGCTGCCAGGAGCCCAAGCTCTGCGACTCAAGTGGAATCTCCACGCCGCCGTGCAGGTGTGCACGGCCGTGTGCGTCCCACCGGCCTCGTTTCAGACGTCACCTCTCGCTACAGCCAGGAGGACGCTCCATGCTCTGGATTACAAAGACCTATGTCCCTCCCTTCCACAGCACATTCTAGGTCAGAATCATACATGAAAGGGTCTGCCCAATGCAATTTTCTTCCACAGCCTAGGGCCTCTGTGCACGAACCAGATGTCAGTGACCCAGAAAAATTGTCTGACTGGGAATGTACCTACATTCCGCGGTGCTGGGCCACCACTGTGGGGACTAACCACGTAAGAGAAGCAGGCCCACATCATTGCCTGTCTTCCTGAGAGAGCACGTCAGAGGCTTTCTAGGGTAGCAACGCGTCCCAGAGCACGGCTAGTCGTGCCTTGTGCAGTGACGCAACTCTCCCAGCACACGCTTGGCACCAACAGGGAACCAGCCAGCAGCTACGGTTCAGAAACAGCAGGCCTGGGTACCTGCAGACGTCCCAGCGCCCTACTGCCTCAGGAAGCTGAAGTAGTGCTACTGAAAGGCAGGCGCGGGCTACCGTCTTCGTGACCCTGGGAAGGCTTCGGCTACACACACGTCATTTCCCATCTGCCTGAGCCAATTCAGTCACTCAGGACTGCTGGGCTGTTGGGGAAGGCTTGTGATCACCAGAACCAGGCCCCTCCTCAGGGGCCCATGGCAAGGAAAGTGAGTCTCGGGCTGACCCATGGACCCAAAGTTATCAGCGAGCTGACTAAACTGGACGCCCTCTTCTCCGCCGGTCCCTGCGTTCCATTGTTTCACACCTTCCAGTGAGCACCTTCGATAAAGGGCGCGACCCCCCCCACCCCGCCCCCCGCAGCCCGATGGCCATACCGTAGCAGGTCCGCCCGTCTCCCCGGAAGCCAATGGCGCACTCGCAGGTGAACTGGGTCCCGGATCCCGGGCGACAGGCCGCGCTGGTGTCGCACCCGTGGGTGCCAATGTAGCAAGGGTTCTGCAGGGCATCCGGGGAGCCATCTGTGGGCAGAGACCGAGAAGCCAGGTGAGTGTCCCGCGCCTCCCCTGCGAAGGAAGCGGGCGGGCGACCAGGAGCCTCCCGAGTCATTAGGCAGAACGGCACAGGCATCGCCCCTGACCACAGCTGCTTTTAGGGCGTTCCATGGACGCAAGCCATCCCCGCTCCCTGCGTGGCCAGGACAGCGCAGGTGCTCAGCGGCGGGGGCCAAGCCCAGGGACAACGACCACGGCTAGGAGGGCCGGGGGTGTCCACTCTCTGGTCTCCTAAGACACAAAGGCCTCCCCCGTTAAGGGCCACCTGCTGCTTTACGGGAGTGGCGGGGAAGAAGGGAAACCCTCACACCCAACACCCAGGCCCACGCATCGCCTGCACCTGAACACTTAAACCTAGTGAGACCGACCGAGCCGTCTCGCGGCCAGAGCAGGGGCAGACCGGGGCGGCCGCCTCGGCCGCAGGCACGCGCGGGCCTGTTACAGGACGCTGGTGGGCTGCTGGCTCCGCAGCTGCTGCGCTCACCCCGCACAGGGCCCACAGCGTTGCTCAGCGCGTAGCGCAGGATCCTCTCCTCGCGGTTATAGAGCACGAACACGCTGTCCACCGAGAGCTGCTGGGTGCGGGGCGGGGCGGGCCGGGCGGGGTCGTGGGCGCACTCCTGGAAGCTGATGGTCTGGCGCCACTGGTAGGTGTGGACCGTGGCGTCGGACGCCTCGGGCTCCGTCACGCTGTACTGCCGGGTGGAGGACGAGGTGACCACTGCGAGGCGGGAGAGCGCGTCAGGGCCCGGGCCGCAGAAGCTCTGCGGCCGCCCCCGGTACCTGGCGGGGCCGCGGGGAGGAGCTACCGGGGCCACCTGCCCTTGCGGGGGCCACTCCGCCGCCCGAGGGCCTCGCACGCCGCGTGGCCGCCTGTCCTCATCACGGCCGCTCGCTCAATTCCTGCGCCGACCAGAGAGAGCCCAGAGACGAAGGTGAGGTGGGAGGACACAGGCGGGGTGGCCCCGTGTCACCCCTCGCTCCGTCACTCCCACGGAGGCGGCCGCTGGCAGCCACTCGGCCTTTAGTCTGATTCTCTTAGACGTGGTGGGGTGTGGGTGAGACAGCTGCGGGTTTCCGTGGGACAGACTAGCCCTGCGGCCACGGAAAACGGTCAGGCCTCCCTGGCGAGTAACGGGTTAGTGCCAGCACTGTGAAGCTACTGTGGCACAGTTCCGTCCCCGGCCAGGGGTGACCCACATATGGCTCAGCAGACCCCTCCTGTCTCCCCGCTGCTCCCCTCAGCAGTGTCTCAGTGGATCTGCCTGTCCTGCTCCCCACTCTGTCTCTGGGGCGTCCTCACTTCTCCTCACACATACCCTGGCCTGTACCCAGCTCATGTATGCATACATAAACAAATCTTTTAAAAGATTTATTTATGCACACAGAACTGGGGTGCAGGCCAGAGGTGCGGGGGCGGTGAGAGGACTCCCCAGAGGCAGAGTGGGGGGGCAGAACAGGCAGATCGAAGAAGCACACTGCTGAGGGGAGCAGTGGGCAGGTCAGGAGGGGTTTGCCGTGCCCTGGGGGTCACCCCAGGGTGGGGATGGAACTGGCCAGCCTGCAGTGCTGTGCTTAGCCCAATGCGCCACCAGGGAGGACCTAAATAAATCTTTAAGAACGAAAAACTGGGATTTACAGAGCACTGATGAAATGTCTCAGTGCCAGCTGCCTTATGGAGGTGGCTCATGCAGGAATCCATAAAAGGAATCCCCCAGGTGGGGCAGCTCTGTGATCGTAAAACCCGGGACGCTGACGAGGTTTCAGTAACTGGATTCTGGAAGGTTGCTGCAGAAAGGAGCAGACCACAACAGAGGAGGAGAGAGTCTTTTGCATCCTGGGAAAGCCTGCTTTCACCCTTACAACAAAGCTCTCAACTCCCTATCTAAAAAGAAAGGGGAAAAGACTTTATATGTGCGTGCCCTGCTGCACTTCACAACAAAAACCGGAGGATAAATAGCAGACGAGTGCGGCCGCCTCGCCCAGCCCCACGCACTGGGCTCACCGGGCTGCAGGCGGGAGCCGGGGCCCTCACCTCTCACCCGCTCTCGGCCCCCCAGGACAGCCCAGTGGGCCACAGGGCCTGGGCCCCTGGGACAAGCTTTCCGAGTGGCGACTTCATCAGCGTCTTCGAGACACTGCTATTGTTCGACTTTTTATTTCTGGGACTCGAGTCTCGGAAGAGAGTAACAGAGTCGGTCAAGATTCGTGACGAATATGGTCATTCCAACTCATGCGAGAAGGGAAATTTGGCCTAGAAAAGAGATAGGCTTACATCTCAGGCCATCCAAGGCATGCATTTCAAGTACGTCCCAAGCCAAACTCCTGGAGCTATCAAACAGGCGTGACGTGGAACCATGGGAAGGCGCAGCTGTGACGCCGAGACGGGGCTGCCACTCCAGGGAAGACGACACCCCTGGCTGCAGACTGTATAATACACCGCAGCAAGGTCCGTATATTCTACTGTGCCGCGATCATCAAGAGAATGTGCTTGTTGTCTGGACAAACACTAAGTGTTTTGGAAACGAAGGACCATGAGATGTACAACTGCGCCCCTCCCCCACACACGGGCGCTAGAACGATACAGTAAACCGTAAACACGGCAATATGTCCACTACGAAAGCCGGGAGCGAAAGCGATTGTGCAGTTTTCAATTTTTTGTAAATCTGAAATGCTTGAAGATAAAAAAGGCGCCATCGGTGCCATGCATCGTTTCCCTGGGACTTAAGACAAAATAACTGTATAGCCCCAATTTGGGGTAGGTCGGGAACCGCCTAAGGAACAGGTTGAAGGAAATGCATTTAACTCTAAATAATACCATCCCGGTTCACAATGGTCAGTCACGCTGACTTCCCCGTGCTCCTCACTCTTCTGTGTCCACCCTGGGGAGGTGGTTTTAAGGAGCTGCCGCCCCATTTCCCTGGGGCCAGCGGGCTGGGCCGGGCTGGGCTGGGCCTGGGCCTGGGCTGGGCTGGGCTGGGCTGGGC